TTTTAGAGCTATTATAATATATAATTATTTAATGCCTAAATTATTTTGAGTTTAGAAATGACTTAGGACTTAAGCTTTAAGTTTTTTTTTGCAACTGACTTGTTGCAGCTCTGGTGGTCACTGTATAATAATAGAAGTACAAAAATCGTTTTTTTTATCTTGTTGATCACATATTCGTATATTAACATATTATAAATCAGATCATACTGGACTCAATGATTTTCTGGAATTAACAAAAACTGTACCTATGTAATCTTATATAATTTTCTTGAAAGTCGGTAAATATGCCCCGTTGCATCAATTTAAGCTGTAATAGAACGTCCCGTATATTTATCTTGCTATAACTTGATCAGAAGGTATGTTTGTTCAGTATATATTAAGGAAATCGTGATTCAGAAATTACTAAACTTGTTCTCAATATGATGAAAGCGTATGAATCATTTGTGTTAATGAAGAGCTGTGTGGTACTTCAAATAAGCAAATTTAAATTAATTTGAATATAGAATTAAAATAATTATATTTACAAATTGACAGTTATGTAGGTACTACTAATAGGAATTGTACTGTTATAGACGCGTGGAGATTATTTTTTAAAGAAAGGAGTATATACGATCGGTCTAAATTGGATCACTTTTTGATATGATTCTTTGATGTAGAAGACAGAATATTAGACGAAGATTTAATTTTGGCATTAGTTTTTGCTTTGAATTAGTTTAAAAATGGCATTAGTTATGCTTGGAGACTGAAGCCTCTATATTCTGACCATACATACTAATATAAAATGTATTCTGTCCTCCTGTACAACCTGTAAAACATTCACATGACTTCCAAAACAAATATTTTTTGGAAAGATTTGTGTGTCTGGAAACGTTCTATCCTTTTTTGATCTTTCTGTACGTAATTAGTGTAAGTTTTATGTCAACTTTTAGTAAATGGCGTCTAGAGATCGACCTTGCCAAAATTATTATCTATTGTCATTCCCAGCCGTTTTTGACGCCGTTTTTTTTTTCGTTCATACGATATTTAAATATAATTTCTTAATTTAATGTTAATTACAATTCATGTTTTCGGAACCAGCAAATTATTGACTGGACCCAACTTTATATTTAAACATAGTAAAAAAATTAAACGTCACGTTTACTCCTTCTCCTTCCTTAGTATATTTATTCAATTATTAACTTCAAACCAAGATGTGAATAGGTAGAGATTGTTTATCTGCTTAGTTAAACAGATGGCAACTTGATTCAATCTGTGAACCCGTTTTATCTTGATAACAGCGTGTCTTGTGTTACAAAGGACCTGCGACAGGGTATCTTGTCGTGTGTGAGCGCTGCCATCTTAAATAAGGACTGTCATGGCAGATAACGAGTACCTTGCGATTTATTGGCACGTGAGAGTCTGATTGTTTGTTTATCTCAAGTGTAGAAATGAGGAAGATTGAAGTTGATAAATCGGAGTCTCTGAATAAATAAATACATTATTATTTGTAGGGATATATGATTACATTTTTATGATGATAAGCCTGTGTGATGTCTTTAGGTATGTACAGCAGTAGGCAGAATATAAGTAGCGGAGTGTTTCTTACTTTAAAAACTGAAATCGCTTAATAGTTTTTTTCTGCTGTCAGGAACTGGTTAATTTTTAAGTATTGATTTTTAAGGATTTCCTGAAGATTTAGATTATATCTTTGGAGGTGTGTAAAAACAATAACAGTTAGGGTGTCCGTTTTTTACAAAGTTGATCATTTCTCTCAGGACGCCCTCTAAATTTTTTGTTTATTGTCTAAAAACAATAACAGACCATTGTAAACCCTTAATATTCACAATAAACCTTGCCCCAAAGACGATTCATTTCCCATTTAAATAACATGGGATTTTGCCACTTTTTGCAAATATTTTTTTTTCTCTCGATTTTGTTTCTCGCAGCCATGACAATTACATATTGTTATTATACAGGGTGGCGCACCTCATTCGCCTCGGTTGATTGACCAACAGAAAGATGTAGAAACAAAATATTTTATGGGTATATGTAGGAAGGCAATGTGCATAATTTAAAATTATTTTGAAATGTACAGGGTGTGTCAGAACTAAGATCCATACCAAAGTTATATTTTTTTTATGGAACACCCTGTATTTTATTTGATTTTTGGATTCTTGGGCATAAAATAAGGCATTTATTATGAGGCTTTAATATGTTTAAATGGTTTGGTTTTTGAGATATTTAAAGATATTTAAATATGCATGTTATAATAAAAAAGTTTGTCAACACCCTGTAAATTACTTTACAGAGTTAATTCTTGTGCTGACTTTGAAGCCAGTGAAATAATCTTTACTAAAAAAATGTATTGCTTTCTTAAATGAGGGGTATCACAGGGGTATCAAAAATTGCTGGTCTATTTTAAATATTGATTTTACATAAAAACTTCGTTATTTTAAATACAACACTATGTATTTTTTGAACAAGTCGAAGCAGATCTAAATGCTCTTTCAAACTATATTAGGGTTTCCTATACCTATCTGGCTCAGATTTTAAATAAAAAGCGATTTTTCAATAAAATGGCAATCAAGATGGCTGGTGTCGCCATGGCAATTTGCTAGTGACAGTTAGTAGCTATTTTCAAAATCGACATTAGTTTATGGACTTTATTTAACGGTTTACTTTTATTTAATTTACCTACAATAGTTTAATAAGTAAGTATTTATTATTTTATCAAGAAAAATAATGAAGTAGCTCTTGGATGTATATTACGATGACTTGTAAATATATTAGATTTTCTATAAAAGAGCCAATTAAGGCAAATTTATATTCTTCACTTCCAATGACAGGTTTCTGCCTAATAGGTTTTTCATATACCACACACTATCAGCTCTGCAAGATAGGAAAAGTAGTTTTTCAAAGGAAGAAAATTCCTATTTGGATATTGGCTTATTTGGATATCTTTGAGCATAAACCCTTCAGGCCAACAAGCAATTGTCCTCACAAAATAAAATCACTAATAACATATCCATTCCTTCCGCCAGCAGATACTGCTTAATTTTTCTTGATAAAATGATGAATATTTACTTATTAACCTTATTGTAGGTAAATTAATTAAAAAAAATGTTATAAATGCTGTTATAAATTTAAATAAAGTCCACAAACTAATGTCGATTTTGAAAATAGCTACTAAGTGTCACTAGAAAATTGCCATGGCAACACCAGCCATCTTGGTTACAATTTTATTGAAAAATTGCTTTTTATTTAAAATCTGAGCCAGATAGGTATAGAAAACCCTAATATAATTTGAAAGAGCATTTAAATCTGCTTCGACATATTCAAAAAAATGCAGAGTTGTATTTAAAATAACAAAGTTTTTATGTAAAATAAATATTTAAAATAGACCAGCAATTTTTGATACCCCTGTATACATTTAAGGAAGCAATAACTTTTTTTAGTAAAGTTTATTTCACTGGCTTTAAAGTCAGCACAAGAATTAACTCTGAAAAGTAATGTACAGGGTGTTGACAAAATTTTTATTATAGTATGCGTATTTAAATATCCTTAAATATCTAAAAAACTAAAGCTTTTAAACATATTAAACCCTTATAATAAATTCCTTATTTTATGTCCAAGAATCGAAAAATGAAATAAAATACCGGGTGTTCCATAAGAAAAAATATAACTTTGATATGGATCTTAGTTCTGATACACCCTGTACATTTCAAAATAATTTTAAATTATGCACATTACCTCTCTACATCTGCCCATAAAATATTTTGTTTCTACATCTTTCCGTTTTCGTATAATCAACCGAGGCGAATGAGGTGCGCCACCCTGTATGTATTATAATAAGTTATTGACGGTTAAAGTTAACCATTCGGTAAATTACTAAATTCTTCAACTTTTTTGACAAAATTTTGATTATTTTTGAAAAATTT